ATTTATGATTCACTCTGATGTCCAAAATGCTCATAAAGATCTATTATAAGTATGCATACTTAATTGTAAATTAGTATTTACCAAATAGTTTGACACATCGTGGTTTACTACATTTAAACTACAGATTAAGTTAGAAGCAGATAGATGTTTAAAATATTAACTTTCACATTTCCCTTTTAAGGTATAACATGAGTTTTATTGTAGTACTACTCTCTATCATTAAGTTGGGGTTTACATGATAATTATTTGATATAAACATGTGACGTTTTATTAATGACTTTATTAAAATGGATAATTCAAATCCCAAGTCAACACATATAAAAGTGTCTCTCAGATCCAGTTCTCCAAAGATAGTCATCCTTATCATACTTCAGATTTATTTTTAAGTTGAGCCGTATTTAGAGGAAGCTGTTTTGTAAGACTTCATTGCAAAATATCAATAAACACATATTAAATCACAAACCCTTGAAATTTTCTATTAACTTTACTTACCCCTGTTATTTATTATTTATGTTTTCTCTGCACATTTTCTGTCTATAGAGAGTTCAAACCAATTTTTACTAGCATATAGCTTTTAGAACTTACGTTGTTATGAAGCTCTTTATAATTTCTTTCTTCAGAGAGAAATTGAAGCCTAGTTTTATGTCTCACATTTACATTTAATGATTGGCAACCCTAGTGAAATAACTCTAAATTAATATAGCACTTAAGCTTTTTACCTTGATTCAGTACTACATATTGCATAAGTGAATTATTTGAGATTCCTATAATTTTATATTTTTTATCAAAAAAATAGACAACAAAGCTTTATTAGGGATCAGAAAACCCAACATTAATAATTAGCATTCGTCTAAAAATGCATAATGATAAATTTCTATTTCTATAGCCTATTATTATTTTATCTCAAGTAGCCTGTCACCTTTTTTTAAATTTCTTATTTATACATGGGATTATATTTTGATATATTAATCATAAGAAAGATAAGTTGAAATTTCAGAACTCCCTGAAAACTTGTAAGTAGGTGTAGTATTTTTTATGAGAAGGAGCAGTAGCATGAAAGACAATGTTGGAGCATTGCAGTAGGTGGGAGAGCTGGAAGTGAAGGTAAACAGCTAAGCCATGCTTTCTTCAGCTGCTGCCAGCCAGGTGCTGCCAAATACTTTGCCCAAAAGTAGGTTGGCACTTATAGAAAAAATATATTTTATGTTAAATTTGCTAAATTTAAGGTTTATATCCAATTAAACTCAGGATTTTCAATATTTTGTTCTATGACATCCTTGTCGCTTCTTATTTATATACATGTTAAAGACTTTGTGCTGATATGTTTTAACATTAACCAAAACAGTCAAATGCCAGAAGTAAAATGAAGGGAAATCTGCAATACATATATGTAGTCGATATATATATGGAGCCCTGGTGGCACAGTGGTTAAGAGCTATGGCTGCTAAGAATAATGTTAACCTGAGTCAAATAATTGTCTCTTTGGCATTAGAATTAGCCTATTTAAAAAACAAGGGGTCCCTGTTTGGCACGATGGTTAAGATCTCGACTACTTGCTGAAAGGTTGGCCGTTCAAGCCCACCCAAGGGTGCCTTAGAAGACAGGCCTAGTGATTTTCTTCTGAAAGGTCGCAGCCTTGAAAATCCTATAGAGTAGTTTTACTCTGCACACATGAGGTCACCGTGAGTCGAAAGTGACTCAACAATAACAATAACAATAGCAACTAACAATAACAACAAGTGTAAAAAATAAACCAACAAACAAAAACTTTTTTTTCAGCCAATAGTCCATTCAGTTAACCACTTATCAATCTTCAGACCAAATATTCTTTAGTGTTTACAATTTGCCAAGTCCTGGGTTAGGTACTGGAAGAATACAGGCAGTTAAGCTTACAATATACTGGAAAGAAAGACGCAGATGATTATTATAATAACATAATAAGAGGGGCGGGAAGGAAGAGGAAAAGGGGGTTAATGGTGATGAAAAAATCGCATTGATTAAGGGTATAGTTGTACAGCCAATTATTGTAATTGCTGTCAATAAGTTGTATACCTGTAAAAAGTTGAATTGGAAAAAGTTGTGTGATAGATATACTTGCAACGATGACAAAAAAAAAAAAGTAGCTGCTGCGGTACAACTCAACACCTCATAGAATTTGCCTCCTTGGTTTGGAGGTTTAGGGTTATTGTTTCATGGGACATCTCTTAATTGGCCTAATAAGCTGTTTAGTGCTTCTGTTCTACCTCCTAGGTCATTGGCTAGTGCCTGGGGTCTTAAAAGCTTGCAAGCAGCCATACAAGGCACAACAATTGGTCTCTATTCCCTTGGAGCAAGAGAGGAAAATGGAGAGTCAGGAATAGGAGGAGGATATGGAATATGTGGCTAACAGCCTCCAGGAACAACCGCCGCCTTTGCTATGAGACCAGAACTGGATGCTGCCTGGCTACCATTGTTGAACATTTTGATCAAAGATTCCAAAGAAGAATCCTGATCAAAGGGGGGGAAATGTAGAAGAGAATTTCAAATTCTCATGGACTCCAGACTTTCTGGAGCCATGGAGGGTGGATGAACCCCTGAAACTATTGCTCTGAAACCAAAAATATCCCCTGAAGTCATCTTAAAACCAAATACTAGTTTAGCTTAACTAATAAAAAAGGCCTGCCTTAAACATTATGTTCTTTTATGGTCTACCTATACGGGATCAAATTGACAACAGCAACTCTAAAGATTAGATAGGAATCTTAGGGGACAGAATTTATGTTAATGAAGAAGGAACAACTCAGAAAAGAATGGTGAGAATGGTTGCACAACTCAAAGAAAGTAATCAGTGTCACTAAATTGTACGTGTAGAAACTGTTGAATCGGTGTATGTTTTGTGTGTATATGCCCAACAACAATAAAATAAATAAAATTTAGAAAAAGAAAGTAATATCACATTTTCATGCAAAAAATGCACACCTGCTACATTTCTTTGCCAATAGCTCCCTCCCCTCTGTGAGGTATTTTCGTAAGCGCCGCTATGCCAATTTTTTTTCCCATGTTGCTGTAAAAAAAAAATTAGCATAGCACACTTACAAAAATACCTCATGGGGAATGGGGAGGGTGCAGTTGGCAAACATAGAAGATGTGTGTTATTTGCATAAAAATAAGGTAAGTGCCATGCCTCCTGGGAGCACTTGGAAGCAGCTCCTGGGCCTGGCTGACTGTGGGGTAGGGATCAGGGATGAAGAGAGTGGCAACGGAGCTGGTGAATGTGGCCTTTGTAAGAATTAACCACAATCTGAAATTTAATAAACTTAACTTTGCAACATGTTATTAAAATATTGTGCGTCTTTCCAAATATGACAGCAAACTATTCGTGAAGGTTTATGTCTCCACCAAGGTAGAATTTTTAAAGGACATCTTTTTGTTCATCCGTGTCAGCAGTTTCTTATTCATATGCATGTTAAAGACTGTGGGCTGATGTTTCAACATTAATCAAAATGAGTTTTGTTCCAAAAAGAATATGTTTAAACTTTACATCACATTTTCCTAACCAATAACTCCAGAACTAAGACTAATAATTCAAAAGAGTTGCATAATTGTGGAAAATGTTGTTGGAAAAACGACACTTTGTAAACACAACTGCCTCACTAAGAACATCCTTCAGTAGTATTTATCTACGCCAATGTTAGCTTATATTTCTTTATTTATTTCTTATTTGAATGCTTAATTGCAACAGGAGGTATGTTTAAGAAAAGCAACAGAATATCTTTTTTTTTATCTTCAAATGCCCATTGGGATGTGGTTCCTACATTGTTTGCTTACTTGCAGCTGTGATAGCTTTTCATGTCTACCTTTTTGTTGGAATATTTAATAGGTGAAAATAGGAAGCACTAAGAACTCATGATTAAGCAATTCAAAAGAAATTTCACATTAAAAAGAAATCCTGGAGATGATTCAAGAGTACATCCTAAAATCTAAAGAAAATTCTTTCCATGGGTTATTTGAGTGATGATCCCAAACATTTCACATATTATACCAAACTTGGTAATTGTAATCTGTTTCTCTAAATCTCAACTCATCAGTTGGAATAGAGAGCGCAATAAAAAAGTTAGTTTATCATGTCAAATTGACCTCACTATATGCAGAAAAACAAAATGGAAAAGTTATACTAATAGAATACCTTCATAAGAAATAATTACAAGTTAAAAGCCTCAGTGACTCTGAGTAATTAAAGGTTTGAATGACAGTCATCCTAATGCGATCAAGCAAGATTCCAATAAAATTTGAGAAACTAGTTCAAAATAAATGTATTCAATTCTGTCTTTCCTTTCTAGCCATCTTCATTTAAATTTTAGGGTGAATCTCTCTATGGAAAGAGGAATGTTGTCTGTGAGATTAGCAGTCCTGTCTCTTTCTTGACTCTGAAATTCCAGCCTCTGAATGTTGATTGTTGTAGTTATTAGGGGCCCCCAAGTGCAACAAAACAAAATGCCTCCCAATCTTGCACCATCCGCATGGTGAGCTGAGCTGAGAATCAGACCATCGGCTGTCTTAGTCTGGAAGCTCCACCAAAATCTGTTCAGTATCATAAGCAACATGTGTGCTTGAGGTGCACTGGCCAGGAACTGAACTTGGGTTTCTCACATGAGAGGCAAAAATTCTCTCACTGAACCACCACCGCCCCCGTGAATCCAGGCTTCATGATTTCAAATCCTGATTCTGTCATGCTCATTTTGTAAACTTGAGCAAGTTAACAACTTCTCTGTGTCTCTGTTTTCTCACTGTGCTATTGGGAGGAAGAAATGAGTTAATGCAGAGAACGTTCTTTGTACAGTGCCAGACTCATAGATCATTCTCAATAAACGGTAGCTATTATTACTGATATAAAAGATGAACTAACCTACCAAAAAAGACAAGAATATTTTTTACAAAGCGAGATATGGATTGAGGTTAGGCCAAAAGGATTCAACATCCAGGAAGCCCAAGGTATAAACTGAAACCAATGTTCAGCTTACCTGTGCTCCGACACGAAAACTTGGTTTTGTGATCACATAATCGTATGGTACCATTGCAGCCTTTCTCGTCACTGCCATCTTCACAATCTTTTTCCCCATCACAGTGCCACAGATGGGGAATGCAGTTTCCATCAGGGTGGCATTGAAATTCATTCCCATTACAACCAGCAGGAGAACGAATCTCTTAAATTGAAATGAGGTAGAGAAAGGCAGAGAGGGGAAGACGGGAAAAATTATGATTTTACTTGATAATTTTTTCACTTTTTCTTTCTTCAGGCAATATATCATGCTTGACAGAGTAAATTTGTACTTAAGTTGTATACTAGCTATAACACTCTCAGGTATTTTCAAATTCATTTAAAAGATGTTAATAGTCAGAGAAAATATTTCTTGCTTCCCACAGAATTCCTGAAAGTGCCATATAAATACATTAAGAGAGAGGGAAAGAACAAGGGAGAGAATGTGTGGATATTTTGCTTGTGATTTCAATTAGTGTCTTAAGAATGAGATCTTTTAAGGCTTTTCTCCATGGCACATAAATGAGGTCTTGCCTTCTACTCCTGATGATTACACTTTGGTTGTTCTTTTGACATTTCTCTGTGTAATTTCTCTCAGACTATTAAGAGGTAAAAAAAAAAATTTAAACACAATAAATACTTTCTGATAAACAAAATAAAAATTTTAAAGAATAACATGCAAAATTTTGAAAAAAAAGATAGCCCACATATGGGACACATATTCTTTGTAACATAAGTTTTCAATTTTGGAATCAGAAAAACAGACCTTTACACATAAGAATTTAATGAGGCACTATGCATTCAAATTCAATATATCAATTAATAATTCATATAGTGCCAGATAACACTCTTCTCCAAAACCTGCTGACTGAAAATATAGGTTAAATTCTGAAGCTAAGCATAAACAGGAATAAAGAAATGCATAGATATAGTAATACAGATGTTTTACAGGATAGCAATTGAATATGACCATAATCAACAGTTTATTAAAATTATATTAATATCTAATATCATGAAAAATTATATTAACTAGTATCACCAAACACTGTTGTAAAATAAAGATTTTAGTATACATTTTTCCTAAGTTCAGAGTTTTAAGGTAACTAATTTATTGCTTATCTCTTATAACTGTATGCAGCAATTAATTTACATTATACCTATAATAGTAATTAATCTATGTAATTATGACAAATTTGAAGCAAGTTCATGTGAGTTACCCATTACTTAATGTGCTGGTTTGGTAAGGGTCATGTGGTTATGTGTTAGGATTAGATTCACTTACAGTCAAAGCTAATAATAGGATTTGAATCACCAAGGCAGCTACTTAATCTTTTGAAACCTCTATTTGTTCACCTGGAAAGTAGAGAGCCTATGGAGTTGTTGTAAGAATTAAATTAGATGTCTGTAAAATGATTAGCTTAACTATAAGGGATTTTTGTTGTTGTTATTTTCTAAAATATAACTCATTCAGTTCCCGATTAAGTTGTTTATTTACTTGATGACTTTCAACAATTACTGTAGGCCAGGTTGCTATTGTTGTCAGATTCCAACCCAAGACGACCTCGTGAGCAGAGTAGAACTGCTCCATAGGGTTTTTAAAGGCTATGACCTTTTGGAAGCAGATCGTTGTCCTGTTCTCCAAGGTGCCTCTGGGTGGGTGCGAACTGCCAATCTTTCGGCCGGTAGTTGAGTGCTTCACTGTTTGCGGCACCCAGGGACTCCAACATACACACACACACACACACACACACACACACACGCACACACACGCACATTCTTATATTCCTTCGCTCCGCACCTCTCATCCCACCCCCTCACGATAAACTAAAAATATTCCAAATCTATTTATCAACCTCTGTTAGAATTGGGTGGTGTTGATGTTTAGGAATGCTGCCCTCTTCTGCCAGAAAATACTGAAAAAGTCATGGGTTTTATTTCTTTTTAACTTTCTTGCCAAATGAAACCAGCTTCTGTTAGCAGTTGTTTCTCCCTGGATGGGGAGTTGTATTCCTCTGAGGAGCCTGTGATGAGCTTTCCAACCTGAGCTCCAAAACTGTGTGGTTCCCCAGAGCCCCAGGTTCCTAAGCTTCAGGGCTTGGCACACGATCTATCTTTGCAATATGCTTGTCCCAATGGAGTGTTAAAATGATGACTATGTTTATGTGTATATATTCATGCTGTTTTACTGTTGTGTATTCATGCTACTGAGGCTGGTTATATTTTAACTAATGCAATTTGATTGTATTTTTGCCCTGAAGCTATTTAAACCAAACATGCAACTTGGGAAATCTAATAAATAAATAAACGCAAAACCCTGGAGAAAATGTGGCAACCAATGGTGAAATTAATATCAGTATTTAGATGAATTCACTGTGACTAAATATTTGCAGTTAGAAAACTAGGAATTGTACAGAGATAGAAAAGATTTTTTTTTCCCTTCCTAAAGTTAAAAAAAAATGGAAATCAGGATTGTAGAAATTATATTTACACTACATTTTTGTCATCAGAATACATTTTTTGCTTTATAAAGAATGCTAAGACCTCCCTGAGAAAATAGCTAATAATGATAAGACATATACAATGAACTATTTAAATCGTGAGACCAGTCTGGGGTGGGAGGGGAGGGCTTTTCCTTTTTCATTTTTTCATTTAATGGAGTTTATACCTTAACCTGTTATTCGTTGTAAAGTGCCTTGAAAAGTAAAAAGCACTATATATTACATGTGTACAAAGCTCCCTGCATTTCCTCTAATCACCATGTGTCAGTCTTTGCTCTGTTCCAAGCTTTGCAACGAATCACTATGTATTAATTCCCACTCCTATGTAGGCTGTTTGCTCCAGACTCCCAGACATTCTTTACCAGCCCAGAAACTAATAAGAAGCTGGTTTGGCAGCATGTCAGTAGCTTCATTTCCTTTACCAGCAGATTGCAGACATAGCCTTTGTCTGCTCCTGCCTGAAGAGAGCCTTAATATTCCCCTAAGGACGTTGACACCTTTGAGTTGTGGCGTCGGCAAAGAATATCGAATATACCATGGACTGCCAAAAGAAAGAAAAAATCTGTCTTGAAAGAAGTACAGACAGAACGCTCCTTAGAAGCGAGGATGGTGAGACTGCATATCAATTACTTTCAACGTGTTATTAGGAGGACCAGTCCTTGGAGAAGGGCACCATGTTTGGTAAAGTAGAGGGTTGGCAAAAAAGAGGAAGACCCTCAACAAGATGGATTGACAGAGCGGCTGCAATAATAGGCTCAAGCATAACGACGATAGTGAGGATGGCACAGGACAGCGCGGTGTTTTGTTCTGTTGTACATAGGGTCTCTGTGAGTAGGAACCAACTGAACAGCACCTAATAACAAGGAGGTTAGGTTTCCCCTCCCCTGGTTTCTAGAAGGAGTCTCTGGGTGGTGCAATTGGTTAAGCACTTGCTACAAACAGAAAGGGTGGCAGTTTGAATCCACCCAGAAACACTTTGGAAGAAAGGCCTGGCAATCAAAAACCCTATGAAGCACAGTTCTATTCTGACACAGTGGGGTTGTCATGAGTTGTAATCAGCTTGACAGCAATTAGTTTGGGGTTTTTGGTTTCTAGAAATCCCAAAGGATAAAGTTGCTTGTTAAAACCTATCTCCTAACCCTGAGCTGACTGGCTGGAGTTGTGTTGGGGGTAGTGGGGGTATGCAGTCCTATGCTTCCCCATGTTATATGGGACAGAATCCCCAGGAGATGTTGCTTGTCTGATGATGCCATGAACTCTGCTGTGAATTATCAGTGAAGTCAAGCCTGGTCATCCCCCTTAAATTAACTTGTTCCCATCCCATTCGACCTTGATGACTACCTGCAGGTCAACATGATTTACCATATTTCTTGGTTTATTATTTCCACCTGTCTTTCCTCCTCCCACCCCACACACTTCCACAGCATGTTTTTTGTGCTTTGGCTTTTATTTCAACAAATTCAATTTTACCCTCATATGGAGCCCTGGTGGCACAGTGGTTAAGAGTTACAGCTGCTAACCAAAAGGTCAGCAGTTCAAATCCACCAGTCACTCCTTGGAATCCCTATGGGGAAGTTCTACTCTGTCCTATAGGGTTGCCATGAGTTGGAATTGACTCAATGGCAACAGGTTTGGTTTTTGGTTTATGTAAACCCCACTGGAGTTTATGCTGATAAGAAGTTGGATGGGAGCTTCAAAACCACTTAATGCTATATGGGATTTAATGGTAAATTTAATAATAAAAAAGAGACCAGATTTCAAATCTTTACATGCCTACTGTCTGGGTCAGTTACAAAAGTTGAATAGACACTCAAATAATATGTTGAAGCAGATAATTCAGGGTACTAAACATCAACCCAGAAATTATTACTGAAGTGCAATCTACCAAAAATAAAGAAAAAATTGTTTTATTTCATCAAAATATTGTTTTTAAATCTGACATACTTCTTTTAATATCTAAATTTTAACAAGAATATAATATATCATAGGATCTATGAACATTATGTAAAGAAAAGTGAACAGAAAGTGATACTCTGTTCAACTGCCTTATGTAATTTGAGAAATCTAGGTTTCCATTCAGTGTGCAAATTAATTAATCATCTTAACAGATATGTTAGATATCGTATATTAAGTAAAACAAATTGCAATATCAGTATTTTAATTTGGAATTTCCTCTGTGGCTTAACAAAAAGCGCCTAGCTAATAATAGGCCCCAAAATATTTACCAGAAAAAAATAAGGGAACAATGGCATTATTTAATTTGGTATTTAAAAATAATGTAGATCATTACTATGTAGAAAGAATGTATGTGAGTATACATATATTAGATATATGTATGAGGAGGGGAAAGAAAATACCATTTTAAAAATTATTAATGGTTAATCTCTTCTTTCTTTGGCCCTTTCTTCTCCAGAAAAGTTGACATTCTGCCTTTGTCCCATAAATTTGAAGTTCTAATCAAGCATGGGCATAAATCTGGCGATAAAAAAAGTATTCAGGAGTGTAGTTCATTTGGAGTTCCTAGGTGGTAAAAATAGTTAATGCGCTTGGCTACTAACACAACTGTTGAAGGTTTGAGTCCACCCAGAAGCAGCTTGGAAGAAAGATCTGGTGACCTACTTCTAACAAATCAACTACTGAAAATACTATAGAGCACAGTTCTCCCCTG